TGCCGGGCTAAGCCCGTGCGTTGGCCGACGGGGGCGGAGGGTTGTTCCCCCTTCTCCTGGATTTGCGGCAAGGGCGTTGGATCCATGGGGGCGGCCTCTCCCTCGATCCACGACGGCACGACGGCTCCCGGCGGCGGTGCTTGGGGCGCAGGTGGAGTTCTAATGCATGTGGCGTGGAGATCGGCTGGGCGTGGCTTGAGGATGGAGGTGGGGCTGGGCGTGGCCGGTGGCGGCGGTGGCGGCGGCGTCCAGCCCGGATCCGGTCTTTGCGGTAGCGACGACGATGGCTGGCCTGGATCCGGCCATGGTGGTGGCGGCGTCCCCTCCGCTGCGGATGACGGGCGAGGAGACGTGACCTTGTGGCGGCACCGGTGGCAGCGGATCTTGGGGTCCAGTGTCCGGGCTCGTCATAGGACGCGCGTGGCGGTCAGAGCTTCCTCCGACGTCGACGGCGCTTGATGCGGGATGGCGGCGACAGTTGCCGTTGTATGGGTGATGACAGCGACTGGCGCAACGGTGGGTGCTCCCTGTAGCGCCCAGAATCGGGGCGGCGGGCCCTCTTCATCAACGGTTGGGGGACTCCGGGGTCGTGTGGGGTTGGATTGAAGCTTGAATTTTGGAATGAGAATCCTGAATTCATCCTTGTGGTAGAGTCGCCATCATTGGCGCACGTGCGGCGATTCCTTCTTGAAGGCGTAGCCTAGGAGTTGTGTATTTTTCGTTTATACTGTGTCTTGTATAATAAGGGTTAGTGGCTGTCCGGGGGAGTTATTGTCGCGAGGTGTACAGCCTCAGGGTTTGTTTTCCACTTTATTTTCGGGTCGTTGGTGTTCGACTGCTGGATTTTGCACTATTAATAATATATGGCTGCATGCATCGTTCTGATGTAGAGGCCGGGGGTTATCCTCCTTTTCGAAAAATATCACCGACGGATCGCAACACGTGTGTCCGCCATCTTCCCTGCACGACACATGCCCAAGTGGGCCTGCCAACTCCCCCTCCCAATGTTATTTATTTCCCTAAGCTGTCCTCTACACGTTTCTCCCCCCTCATTCCCATCTCTCCTTCGTCACAGAGAGAACTCACATGGCAGCGCGCCTCCTATCCCCTTCTCGACTCCATCTTGGTCTCACCACCACTATCTTGGCCCCACTACCATCTTGGATCCCGCCAACTCTCCATAGCAATCTCTATCGACGGCTCCTCGGTGCTGGCGCTCAAGTTCCCTGTCTTCATGGCGATCTCCACCAACAACTCCATGGTGCCAGTGCTAAATCTCTACTTCTTCAACACTGCAGGCGTTGCTGACCGCCTCAACGTCGACTGGTGCGAGTGTCGGTGTCAAAACCGGCCGATCTCGGGTAGGGGCTCCCGAACTGTGCGTCTGAGGATCGAAGGTAACAAGGGATACACGGAACACGATGTTTACCCTGGTTCGGGCCCTCTTAATGGAGGTAAAACCCTATGTCCTGCTTGATTGTATTTGATGAGTATAGGGGTTACAAGAGTCGATCTACGTCAAGATCATAATGGCTAAACCCTAGATGTCTAGCCTATGTGAATTCTGATAGCCTCTACGGACTAAACCATCTGGTTTATATAGACACCAGAGGGGCCTAGGGTTGTACAGAGTCGGTTCGCAGAAGAAGGAAATTATACATCCGGACGCCAATCTTGCCATCCACGCATAGGAGAGTCCTATCCGGACACGAGGGAAGGCCTTCTACCTTGTATCTTCACGGCCCATTAGTCCAGCCCACATCCCACAGCCCGGACACCCGAGGACCCCCTAATCCAGGACTCCCTCAATAGCTTCTGAACCAATCTTCAATGATGATATGTTCGGCACGCGGATTGTCTTCGGCATTGCAAGGTGGGTTCCTCCTCCTGAGTACTTCAAAGAAATCTTCTGAATAAAAGAACTGTATCCGGCTCTGCATGACAATCACAACCCTCAACCATGAAGGAAAAATATTTAATCAAAATAATGTCTGTCAACTGACAACTTTTTCGGCGAAACGCCACATCTAGCCTCTTTAATATTTCAAACCGTTTTGCCCATGTCCCTTTTTCGCGGGATCCTCATCAATACGGTTTTGGGTAATCCAACCGTGTCATTTGCACGACCCCTTGGGAACAGGCGAGTTTTAAGGATTGAGGGGGGGGGGTGCTTGATATTCATTGCCTATATAAGTGGATAAAGATCCCTCTTTTCTCCCCACGCCTTCTTCCTTCTCCTGTTTTCCCATCCTCAAGCTCCAGCGCCCAAGCCTCAATCTTCCCCACCACCACCAACCTCTCCAGCCATGTCTTGATCTGGCTCCAAGGGCAAGTGGGAGGCCTCCTCCATCACAGACAAGGATGTTAAGGAGCTCTGGGAGGCGGGGTACCTGTCTGCGGACGTCGCACATAGGCTCCCTGCCAAGGAGCAAGTTATCCCCGCCTCGGAGCCCGACGAAAGGGTTGTGTTCATCCCTCACTTCCTCAGCGGACTAGGGTTTCCCCTCCACCCCTTTGTCTGCGGCCTCATGTTCTACTACGGGCTAGATTTCCATGATCTAGCCCCAAATTATTTCCTCCACATCTTGGCGTTTATCGTCGTGTGGGAGGCGCTACTCCGCACCCCCCACTTTGGCCTATGGCTAAAAGTTTTCAATGTGAAGCCGAAGGTGGTCGACGGGAAGCATGCGGACTGCGGTGGCGCCATGCTGAGCAAGCTCCCCAACACCACTTGGCCAGCGTGGGATGTCATACCTAGTGCATCGGGTCCAATGAAAATCTTTTGTGACAATACTGGTGCAATTGCCCTGGCAAAGGAATCCAGATTTCACAAGAGAACCAAGCACATCAAGAGACGCTTCAATTCCATCCGGGATCTAGTCCAGGTGGGAGACATAGAGATTTGCAAGATACATACGGATCTGAATGTTGCAGACCCATTGACTAAGCCTCTTCCACGAGCAAAACATGATCAACACCAAAGCTCCATGGGTGTTAGAATCATTAATGTGTAATCTAGATTATTGACTCTAGTGCAAGTGGGAGACTGAAGGAAATATGCCCTAGAGGCAATAATAATGTTATTATTTTATTTCCTTATATCATGATAAATGTTTATTATTCATGCTAGAATTATATTATCCGGAAACATAATACTTGTGTGAATACATAAACAAACCAAACGTCACTAGTATGCCTCTACTTGACTAGCTCGTTAATCGAAGATGGTTATGTTTCCTAACCATAGACATGTGTTGTCATTTGATTAATGGGATCACATCATTAGGAGAATAATGTGATTGACATGACCCATTCCATTAGCTTAGCACTCGATCGTTTAGTATGTTGCTATTGCTTTCTTCATGACTTATACATGTTCCTATGACTATGAGATTATGCAACTCCCATTTACCGGAGGAACACTTTGTGTTCTACCAAACGTCACAATGTAACTGGGTGATTATAAAGGAGCTCTATAGGTGTCTCCAAAGGTGAATGTTGGGTTGGCGTATTTCGAGATTAGGATTTGTCACTTCGATTGTTGGAGAGGTATCTCTGGGCCCTCTCGGTAATGCACATCACATAAGCCTTGCAAGCATTACAACTAATGAGTTAGTTACAAGATGATGTATTACGAAACAAGTAAAGAGACTTGCCGGTAACGAGATTGAACTAGGTATTGAGATACCGATGATCGAATCTCGGGCAAGTAACATACCGATGACAAAGGGAACAACGTATGTTGTTATGCGGTCTGACCGATAAAGATCTTCGTAGAATATGTAGGAGCCAATATGAGCATCCAGGTTCCGCTATTGGTTATTGACCGGAGACGTGTCTCGGTCATGTCTACATTGTTCTCGAACCCGTAGGGTCCGCACGCTTAAGGTTTCGATGATAGTTATATTATGAGTTTATGAGTTTTGATGTACCGAAGTTAGTTCGGAGTCCCTGATGTGATCACGGACATGACGAGGAGTCTCGAAATGGTCGAGACATAAAGATTGATATATTGGACGGCTATATTCGGACACCGGAAGTGTTCCGGGTGATTTCGGAGAAAACCGGAGAGCCGGAGGGTTACCGGAACCACCCCGGGAGAAGTAATGGGCCATATGGGCCTTAGTGGAGAAAGAGAGGGGCAGCCAAAGGTG